TGACCAGGCCCTGCCGGGGGAAGTTATCTGGGTGATCTCTTTGCAGAATCTCCTCGGCTTCTCTAAGGCTTTGCAGAGCGTCTTCATATTGCCCTTGCAGGTGGTAGAGATAAGCCTGCATGGCAAGGAACGTGGGCTGGTTCTGGTAGTGAGTGTGGGCAATCCTGAGAGCCAGAGTTTGGAGGATGTGAGCTGCATCTACCTTGTCTCTGATTTCAAAGTTCCAAGTGAAGTGGCACTGGAGGGCCTGCAGCTTCTCCTTCAGACGCAGGGGGCTGCAAAGAGAGGGGGAAATGAGACTCCGTCTGGGCTGAATGAATTTCCACTGCATCTAAAATCATTCCTACAAAGTTTATTTCACAACACTCTGTCAGAATAAAGCGAGTGTAAATGGAAAGGCCCCTTCACACAGCCAGGGTGCTGTGAATGGCTGCAGGGTGTGTCCCCCCCCCTGCAGTGAGAGGTGTGATCGCAACATGGGCTGCCCTCCCCGCACTAGCTGTAACCTAGCTCCCGCAGCTAAAAACAGCAGTGACGCGTGGCGGCGTGGGATCCGCGAGCCCGTCTGGCCCCCTGGGTACATACTCATGTTTCTAGCCCACATCCGGGGCTGTGTCTCTGCAGCGTCACTGCTCGGTTTAGTCCCACTAGCTAGGTTAAAGCTAGCACGGGTATGCCTCCCTGAGCTAGACACACCTGTGACTGCAGTGTAGCCTACCCTTAGTATCCATGGGAACAGGGTCCACTCTAGTCAGCAGGCAGGAGAGAAATGTAATGGGGAACTTCTGAGGAATGGCAAAATATAAATATTCTTTCTCTGGACATTTAATTGAGGCGATCGAGACCTGTTACACCCCTGCGCCGGCAGTGCATCCTGTGTGCAGATGTGGTCACTCCATCTCAAAAAAGATATATTGGAATTGGAAAAGGTTCAGAAAAACATAATGATTAAGGATCTGGAATGGCTTCCGTGTGAGGAGAGATTAAGAAGACTGGGACTTTTCAGCTTGGAAAAGCGATGACTAAGGGGGGATATGACTGAGGTCTATACAATCATGACTGGAGTGGAGAAAATAAATAAGGAAGTGTTATTTACTCCTTCTCATAACACAAGAACTAGGGGTCACCAAATGAAATTAATATGCAGCAGGTTTAAAACATAAGAACAGCCAGACTGGGTCAGACCAAAGGTCCATCTAGCCCAGTATCCTGTCCTCTAACAGTGGCCAATGGCAGGTGCCCCAAAAGGAATGAACAGACAGGTTATCGTCAAGTGATCAATGTCCTGTAACTCAATCCCAGCTTCTGGCAAAGGAAACAAAAGGAAGTAGTTCTTCACACAACGCACAGCCAACCTGTGGAACTCCTTGCCAGAGGATGTTGTGAAGGCCAAGACTATAACAGGTTCCAAAAAAGAACTAGCTAAATTCATGGAGGATAGATCCATCAATAGCTATTAGCCAGGATGGGCGGGGATGGTGTCCCTAGCCTCTGTTTGCCAGAAGCTGGGAACGAGCGACAGGGGATGGATCACTTGATGATGACCTGTTCTGTTCATCCCTCTGGGGCACCTGGCATTGGCCACTGTCGGAAGACAGGATACTGGGCTAGATGGACCTTTGGTGTGACCCAGTAGGGCCATTCTTATGTTATTTCTTCATACAATGCACAGTCAACCTGTGGAACTCTTTGCCAGAGGATGTTGTGAAGGCCAAGATTATAACAGGGTTCAAAAAAGAACTAGATAAATTCATGGAGGATCAGTCCATCAATGGCTATCAGCCAGGATGGGCAGGGATCGTATCCCTAGCCCAGGGGTTCTCACAACAATTTTTTGGTGGCCTCAGAGTGCAGACACCAACTCTCACTGGTGGCCGCACTGACACTTTTTTCCTAAAATACTTAATTAATTTGAGGAAAAACAATTAAATAGGCAGAGATTTACATCCAAATCGTCGTAATTTATATTTGTAGGGTTTTTTTGGCAGAGTCAATAACAAAAATAATGCTGCATCCCCCTTCGCCTCCCCACCACGCAGGGCTTAATGAGTCCTGGGGCTTGCTGTGAAAGGTGATAGTTGTATATTTGTTAATATCACAGCACACTTAGTTGCTCCCTGGGAGGCTATGAAAAGTGATAAGTGATATTAACAAACATACACGTATCACTTTTCATAGACAGCTAGTAAGTCTGCTGTGAAAAGTGATACTTGCATGTTTGTTAATATCACTTTTCTCAGCAAGCCCCAGGACCCATTAAGCCCTGGATGGGGGCGCTGTAAAAGGGAGGCAGCAGGGGCCAGAGGTGATGGTGGGATGGATGCAGGACTGGGGGAGACTGCAGGGTCCTGCGGGGGGCGGGCAGGAGAGAATGGATGCAGGGCTGTGGGAGGCAGTGGGGGGCCTGGGGCAATGGGTGGGAATGGATACAGGGCTGTGGGAGGCAGAAGGGGCCAGGGCGATGGTGGGATGGATGCTGGGCCGGGGGAGGCTGCAGGGTCCTGGCCGGGGGAGGGGAGAAGATGGATTTGGGGCTGTGGGAGGCAGTGGGGGCCCGGGGCGATGGAGGGGGGTGGACTCGGGGCTGTTTGAGGCAGTGGGGGCCTGGGGCAATGTGGGGGATAAATGCAGGGAGTGGGGGAGGCAGTGGGGTCCAGGGGCAATGGATGGGAATGGATACAGGGCTGTGGGAGGCAGTGGGGGCCTGGGGCAATGGGGGGTGGTGGATGCAGGGCTGGGGGAGGCAGTGGGCGCCCGTGGTAATGGGTGTGGGGGTGGATGCGAAGCCAGAAAGGCAGTGGGGTCCAGAGGCAATGGGTGGGAATGGATACAGGGCTGTGGGAGGCAGAAGGGGCAGGGCGATGGTGGGATGGATGCGGGGCCGGAGGAGGCTGCAGGGTCCTGGGGGGGCGGGGAGGAGAGGATGGATACAGGGCTGTGGGAGGCAGCCCAGGCCGGGGCAATGGGGGTCAGAGATGAGCCCCACTGTTGCGTGGCCAGAGCCAGGGCCTGGTGTCTGCTGCCATGCAGTCAAGGCTCAGTGTCCGAACCCGGAGCTGGGGACAGGAACTGCGTGGCCGGAGCCAGGGATCGGAACCTGCTGCAGTGCAGCCGGAGCTGTGGGTCAGCGCCCAGGGCTATTGCCTGCTGCCGCATGGCCAGAGCTCGGAGCGGGGGGCTGGAGGCCAGGGGTGTGTGGTTGCATCCAGGAGTCAGCGCCTGCCATTGAGTGGCTGCAGCCGGCGCTCGCTGCTGTGGGGCCGGGGATCAGTGCCTGCTGACCCAGGGGTGTGTGGCTGGAGCCCGGGAACAGAGCTGTGGTTTGGCGCCTGATGCCCTGCAGCTGGGGCAGGGGATCAGCACCAGGGACTGGGGCTGCGTGGCTGGAGCCCAGGGCCAGCGCCCGCCACCGCATGGCCGGAACTGGGGGCCAGAGGCAGACTGAAGCTCTGCCATCAGACCCGGGGGACAGCATCTGCTGCCCCATGGCCAGAGCCGGGGATGGTGCCCGAAGCCCTGCGGTTGGAGCCTGCTGCCGGGCGGCTGGGGCTGGGGGTTGGTGCCTGTGGCCAGCCCCTGCCACTGTGCGGTTGAAGCCCAGGACTGGAGCCAGGAGCCAGCACCTGTTGCTACGAGCTGGAACCTGGGGCCAGAGGCTGAAACCCCGCAGCTGGTGTGTGTGGGGTCAGTACCCGCTGCCCTGCGGTCGGAGTCTGGGGCAGCACAACCAGGTTCCTGAAGTCCCGCTGCTGAAGCCTGCAGCCCAACCCCCCACCCCCAAGGTGGGTCAAGAACTCGCCTTGCTCCTGCAGCGTTGTGCCCCACTTCTCTCCAGAGGCCGTGCAGGGAGGTGCATCCAGGAGCAACAAGGAGGGAGAGGGAGGGGCCGATGCTTTGCCCCCCCCGTCCCAGAAGCTGTCCTGGCTGCACAAAAAGCCCCTGGTGGATGCATGCGGCCACAATGTCCGCATTTGAGAAACGTTGTCCTAGCCTCTGTTTGCCAGAAGCTGGGAATGGGCAACAGCGGATGGATCACTTGGTGATTCCCTGTTCTGTTCATTCCCTCTGGGGATCCTGGCATTGGCCACTGTGGGAAGACAGGCTACTGGGCTAGATGGACCTGAGGTCTCTCCCGTCACCTGGCTCTTGTAAGCTGCAGCACTGGTCACTGGAGCTGCTATCAATGTTCTGAAAATTGCTGTTTTTCACCAACCAGGCTCCTTTGCACCGTGAACCCGCCTGTATGTACACTGGGGGGGAAACAGGCCCAATCAACCCTCATATACATTAGGGGATGCTCTAAAAGTGACCGAAACTAGCTGTTCTATACCAGGGCGGTCCCTGTTCTTCCTCTGGCCCAGAGCTCTCCCAAGCCCCAGCTGACGGGGGGAGAGGGCAACGGGTCTCCCAGTGTGCAGCTATGTACCTGCTGAATGAGTGTTTGAAAGCGTTGGGCTGACAGGGGTGGCTGTGGAAATGCTCAGTGTCATTGGCACCACGCGGGATGCTGCTGCGGGATGTAAGGGAAATGGAACTGACAGCTGGCGACAAGGGGCTGCTCTCCAGACGGTTACAGCAAGGTGAGCTTGCAGGAGAAGGATGTGAACAGCTCACTCGTGTTAAATGACCGAGATCGCACTTTAGCCCAGTGAGTCACCAGCCTGGGAGATTCAACACGGATGCAAAATTATATGACATTGACCCCCACCCCCAGGCCCAGAGATATAAAAGTCGGAGATTGACAGCCCGGGAAATGCACAGAGGGGTGGGAAGGTGTCTGTTTAGTCCTTGCTGGAAATGCGCCCCCCCCCCCCGCCCCGCCCAGCGACCCCAATGCTCCTACCTCATTGCGATCCGCTGAGTCCCCAGCCCAGCCAGGGAGGTGACGGCTCCTGTCACTGCACTGGGTTTCTTCCCGAGCTGGAGAAGTGCCCGGTTCTGGGAGAGACCCGAGTTCTGTCTGGGGCCAGAATGGGCTGTGTCTGCTAAGACGATGCTCACCTTTATATGCAGGCTAGGCTGCTAGCTGGTGATCTCACTTGTCCGTCAGATGAATTTCAACAGAAAGGGAGAGTCAGCTGGAGAAAAGGAAACTGAAACTTAACTTTCAGTTCCACTTGTCATCTTCAGCTTCCATAGGGTTACCATACGTCCTCTTTTTCCCGGACATGTCCGGCTTTTCGGCACTCAAACCCCCGTCCGGGGGGAATTGCCAAAAAGCCGAACATGTCTGGGAAAATGGCGGCTCTGCTCCTCCCCTGACTCTTCGGCTCTGTTTAAGAGCCGGGCTGCCCGAGCGCTATGGGCTTCAGGCAGCCCCCTTGCCTCCGGACCCCAGCCGCCGGCCGGGCACTTCCCCTCCCGAGCTCCGGCGGCGCAGGGTCCGGAGGCACGGGGGCTGCCCAAAGCCGGTAGCGCTGGGGCAGCTCGTTCCCCGTGGCTGGGAGCGGGAGGGAGGAGGGGGCGGAGTTA